CTGAGTCCAACTTTCCAGGCACAAAAAGCAGATTCAAAAACAGAAGGTGCTCTCCCTGAAAATCACAAAACAGCCTCACAGGAGGCACCTCAAAAGTCATGCAGTTGGGCACCCCCCTTTTTGAAAACAATGGACCATGAAGCACTAAGGTGGGCCATGCCTCGTCTACAGGGACCTGATGGTCATTCACAGTGATGCAGTGGTTGTTCAGGGATGTGATGGTCATTCATGGTGACGTAATGGTCATTTGCAGCAATGTAATGGTTGTTCTGAATGACGTGATAGTCGTCAATGACATAATGGTCATTCTGAAGGACGCGACAGTCATTCGCAGTGATGTAGTGGTCGTTCATGGCGACGTCATGGTCGTTTGCAGTGACGTAATGGTCCTCAGTGATGTAATGGTTGTTCGCAGTGACATGATGTCGTCTGCAGGGACGTGATGGTTGGGGAGTGTGGGGGCTAGAACTCACTTCCTACTTCCAGAGGCTCTGCACTTATGTAACTTTTGTAAATTGAATCTTTTAGAAAAATTGGAAGCCTGTTATTTAAAGCCACCCTGGGGGAGGGCGGTTGGAGCAGTCGCTCCGATACCCAATAATGCTGGGGGCGTCTGTGCTGACATCTGGGTTCCTGCGCACAGACCTCTGAGCCGAGCAGATTGACAGCTTTACGATCGAGCTTCAGCAAAATCCAACAGAGAAGGTCAATCTGTGACCAAAATGAGCACCACGATTCCTAAAGCCGGATTCCGGGGTCTTGCTTGGGATTATTAATACCCAGCGGGGCAGAGACGTTACTAAATTCGGAGAGGGTGAGGGGCGAGAGCGGAGTGGAAAGCAGGAAGGAACGTCAGGGATCCACGTTAGGTGGCCTTGGGATAGTACAATGTCAATGATTTCTTCAGGGAAAAAGGCCCTTCCACCAATGGCCTGCCACCAGTGGAGTTGTGAGACTGAGCCTCCAGGATTATCCCAAATAAAAACAAAGATGTTTGGAAAAGACAACACACCGGGGAGCGACTCCCCGTTCACACAGAAACATGCAGTGCCTGGTTAGATCTCTGGAGGCTGCCAAGTGAGGCCCCTCAACACAGAACCAAGGAAACGTACGCTTTGGTGGGATGGGCAAGAAACCGCTACAGAGAGAAACCCACCTGGCGGCATCGGGACGGGGCCAGAGGGGCCAGCAGGGCCAGGCGTGGCACCAAGAGCACTTGGAGGAAGGGAGAGGGGACACCAAAGGAAGGGCCCCAAGCACACCTCGCCCACCTTGGTGGCACCCCGTCTGCTTAGAGTTAAGTTCTTCCCAGTGGGATATGCCCCCGGGTGTGGTGCACTACCACCCGATATTCTATTTTCTTTCTGGAAGGACGGGTGTGTTTTCACCTTATGCCAAATGCTACTCATAACACATTCTGTTGTCATCGATCCTACTCAGTCAAAGTCCCAAGAATCCTTCCCCAATGGCACGGCCTGTCCCTCCAGAACAGTGAGGGCAGAGAGGTAAGGACAGTCACTGCAGCATGCCAGGGAAGCCACTGTTTGCTGTTCCCAGGAGAAACCCATGGGGGAGTCTTAACTATAAACACCACTCACAACAGCCCAACGGTGCCTTTCAAGGCTCGGACTACCTGGGGGTACCCACGACCACCTCCCTGTAACTTACGGGTTTTCCGATTCCAAGTTCTACCAAATCACACCAAAGTTGTACCTCAGCAACACATGGTTACATATTCAAAATGCCTCTAAGATCTAAACCATCCCTCACAACACAAACAAATGTTCCGCATGAAGGACACTCAAGGGAGACCTACCACCGTGTCTGATCCAAGCACAGAATGGATACATGTGTGTTTAATGGTTAATGGCTTGCTGGTTGAATGAACAGTGAGTGGATACAATGTTAAATCTTCTGCAATTTGCCTTCTGCACCCAGGCAATGAGTCTCTCGTTTGTCACTGGCCAAGGGGATCACAAACGGCCCATCTCTCTTGTTGCTGTAGATTAGAATGTTCCAGCGGAAATACTCCCAGCCTCGTTCTCCAGGTTAGTTGCTTGTTTGGGTTTATACTCTCAAAGGACTTTGATCCGCTCCTGCTGCAACCCCAAGTCTCACTTGTGCACGGTCTGAAGCTGCTTGGGTCCGACTGGGGCTCCGATTCCAACCTGGGCCCAGGTAGGATGGAGTGTGTCTGCCTTTGAAGAGGCGACAAGAGGCCAGAGGAAGCGTGAGGGAGGAGGGGAAGGGCAGTGCTTGGGGACACACAGCAGACAAACACGGTTGACAACCCTCCCAAGTACAGAGAGACAGGGAGGCCTCCGGTGAGCACGGAATAACCAGGAGGTCAGACAGGAGAAAGGTTCCCAAAGACATGGGGGCTGGGGTGACAAGAGGGTGGCCCAGCCACAGACCAATGGGGCCATGGGATGGGAGGCACTGCAGGGTGACAATGACCTCAATGAGCGTGAAGTGGCAGAGAAGGGGCCACTCCAGGCCAGGCTAGAACACCCTACAGAGAACGGGATGGGGCAGGCTGGAGGAAGGCAGCGAAGGGTCCGAGTAGCTCCAGAATCCTAAATTGTCAGAATAACGAAAACACACATCTGATAACTAGGACTACACGGTGAAGTGGGGAAAGTACCAAACTCTGCCGAGAGACCCCTGGCCGATGGGCCGTGACGGCGTCCCCCACCCCCAGGCCTCTGTCACAGGAGGCGGGGGCAAGAACAGCGTCCGGAAATGAGTTGAGAACTAAAGTTAGCGGTTCCCAAACAGCATTCTTCTTCTTCTTCTCTTAAATACAAAATAAAACAGAACATATTCTGCCATGTGCACTGCCCATTAGAAAAAATATATATATATTGTTTTGTGAAACATTTAGTTCAGATCTAGAGACATTGATATATAAAATGTGTTTCTTACTGTGGGCTCACAATAAAAAATGTCCCAGGCCCTGGCCAGGTAGGTCAGTTGGTTAGAGCGTTGTCCTGATATGCCAAGGTTGTGGGTTCGATCTCCAGCCAGGGAACATACAAGAATCAACTAACTAATGTAATATATATATATATATTTATATATAAATATTTATGTGTATGTGTGTGTGCACATATATATGTGTACACACACACACACACACACAAATATATATATTTGCCCTGGCCAGTTTGGCTCAGCGGTTGGAGCGTCAGCCCATGGACCAAAGAGTCTCCAGTTTAATTCCAGTAAAGGGCATGTACCTCGGTTGTGGTTTGATCCCTGGCCCTGGTTGGGGTCGTGCAGGAGGCAACCAATCGATGTATCTCTCTCACATTGATGTTTTTCTCTCTCTCATGCCCTCGCTCCCACTCTATCTGAAGATCAATGGAAAAATATCCTCGGGTGAGGATTTTAAAAAAAAGTTTTTTGAAAAGCACAGCACAGGAGGACACATAAGGTTTCTTCAAACTCTAAGAGTCTCCCACCTGACAGGTATGTACAATCCGTCTAGATAGGAGTCCCGGCATAAAATTTAAACACATCAAGGGCAAAATTTAGATGCATCACCAGATAATTCAAAATGAAACATTATCCAAAACCATGACCTTAGTTCAACTCAGCCTGACCCAAGTCTCCAGGAAGTAGCTGCACCTCGCTGATGTTGTAACAGACACACCTGTATACTCAGGCCAAAGGGCGGGCCCCATACCTGGGAGGTGTTCATTACAACGCAGACAGGCACAGATAGGGACAGTGTCCTGCAGACATTTTATTATGAAACCTACTCAAGGTAGAACTTGACTGTGTCACTTTAAAAACATCGAATGCCAGCCCTTATTTTTAATACCTTCACCAACAGGAAATTCCAGCACGCCCCAGACTGTGTGAGACATACCTTTGACACCGTTTCCCGGAGCAGGTGGCTTTTAACGACTGGTGGGTTCTGACTCAACGCATCTGCACATGACATTCTTACCGGAAAGCTATGATCCGAGTGAGGCCAGGACTTTGGGAGAACACACAGCAGCAACGTGTGTGAAATCTTGGCCACTTCCTGGGTGCACAAGTCATGTTCCCAGAGGAGCAAAGGGTGATGTATGGGCATGTTTATGCTCAGGAATGGAGACACGTTGACAAGCCCAGCAAACACATTTTAGAGGACAACCGTGTAGGCTTGGGGTCCACAGAACACCCTTTCACCTAAAGAAGTAAGATGTCCCCACAGACCTGGGTGTTTCCATCATCACTGCTCTGAGGTGGGGGAGGGTAAGTCACAGACACGGAAAATGGGGCACCAGGCGATCGACTTGCCCACTTTGTCTAAGTTGAGAACAAACCTCAAGTTTTCTGTTTGCCAGACACTATGTTCCCAATTTGAGCATAAGTGGTCCTCCCTCAACCAAGGCTTTCCGGTCCTTCTGTGAATGCTAATTCAAGGAAAAGAGAGTCCCCGAACCCTGCAAAACTCACACTCACCCTGGGCGGCTGCGGAGGCTCTGTGGAGGGTGCCCCGCCAGCAGCCACCCTCACCACCGGCTCCTCTTCCCCGCACCACCAGGGCACAAACTTCACAGCGCGGGACCCTCCACTCCTTCCAGGGCTGACCAGACCTGCCCCCAGAGCACTTCACCACCGCCTCTCACCCCTGACCTTACAAGAAAACAGGGGTTTCCAGGCGCCCTGTGCCTTCCCAAGGTCACTCGAGCCTAAGGGACCTTTCGGTCTCCGGCTGCCAGGTCACACAAACTAAACGCAGACCGAGTAATTTTCTTTCGGCCGGTACTTCAGCCCACGCTGCCACTTGAGGTGACCTGAGCCACGGAGGACCCAGCCGGGGGGGCACCCAGGTGTACCCAGGCTGGCACGACCCTCCGAGGCTGGGCTCTCCAGGAACCTCCGGGCCGGCGGGGTTGTGGAGGTGGACGGGGCGCTGGGAGAAGGCCGAGTGAATCCCAAGGTCGCCCCCAGCCCAGGGCCCCCCCGCCCCCCGCAGCCGCAGGCCAGGCCACCCGCGGGCTCACCGGGTGCGCAGCGCCTGCCAGGCGGCGTCGATGTCGGCGTAGAGGTTCTTCTCGGAGGGCCGGCCCGAGCTGACGCCGTAGCCCGAGTAGTCGTAGGAGAAGATGTTGCAGTTGATGCGCGAGCCCAGGCCGATGTAGAAGCTGCACATCTGGCCCAGGTCCACGGCGTTGCCGTGCGAGAAGAGCAGCGTGTAGCGGCTGGAGGGCGCGCAGCGCACGAACATGCAGCCCAGCCGGTTGTCGCGGGCCGTGCGCGAGAAGAAGACCTCGACGGCGTCCAGCTCGCGCTGCGAGTACTGCCAGTCGGCGCGCTCGCTCAGGTGCAGGCTGCACGCGCCCGGGCCCGCGCCCTCCTCGGCCGCCGGCGCGGGGCTGGCCGCGGGCGCCGGGGCGGGGGCCGGGGCGGCCGCGCCGGGCGCGCCGGGGCCCGGGCCGCGCTGCTCGGGCGCCAGCACCGTGTAGGTGGGCTCGGGCGGCAGGAAGGCCAGCTTGGCGGCGATGCGGCTCGGGCAGGGCGGGCAGCAGAACAGCCAGCACAGCTCGCCCAGCGAGAAGCCGTTCATCCTGGGGCCGGGCTCGGGCATGGGGGCGGCCTGGGCCCCGCCGGGCGGCAGGAGGCGGCGAGCGGAGGGAGGCGCGCGGCGGGCGCGGGTGCGGGGCGCGCGGAGGCGGGGCCGGCGGGCGGGGCGGGTCAGCGGCGGCCCCGCGGCCAGGGCGAGGCGCGGCCCGGGCCCCGCGAGCAGCGCACAAAGCCGGCGGCCATGGCTGCAGCGCACCCCGCTCCCCGCGCCCCCCGCCCGCCGCCACTTCCGGGGACCGCGCGGCGGCGCCACCCTCGCCCGCTCAGGGCGGCACCTTCCCCGCGGGACCCGCCGCCGGGGGCTCCGCGTGGGGCGGCGGGCGGGTCCGGCGCTGCGCGCGCGGACGTCCTTGGCTGGGACAGTCCCCTGCTGCCCTCCCCCTGGGGCTCCCCCCACACCCCGCTCCTGAGCCGCAGGGAGGTCCTGGGGACTCTACCGAAAACAACTGCGGCGGGAACGACCCTGAACTACTCGGTGTCCGTCTCTGCCCGCGAGGGGAGGGTCGTGGGGCTGGGTGGTCGCGGCTGCTGCGCGTGAGCTGCGGCGGCTGCTGCCGATGTGGCCCCGGAGTCACCTTCCTAGGACGTCCCGCGGCCGGGAGCCAGGCGGGGCCCAGGCACCTCGCAGCCCCCACCGCTCCTTTGCCGGGCTCCGTTCTCTAGACCTGGTTCGGGTCCCGGATTTGGAAGTGGCCTTGATCACAAACATCGCTTAGGATGATTTAGATCCACTGTCATCTTGGCACTTGGCGAGGTTTCGGTGACTTTTTGCAACTCTCAGAGCCTTCTGTCCTTCCCGGTCTGTCCTGACTTGGCAGCTCAATCCCCTTGCAGGAAGGGACAGAAGACACCTGCCTGGGCGGCCACTAGGGCGGCTGCAGACGGGACTTGGCAGGGCCCCCTGGCTGGGCCTGCTGCGGGTCGCTCACCGCTGTCTTGAGAACAGTTCACTTTTATCACGGCTGCTACAGAAGGCACATGTTAGGGTGCCTTTTTGAGCACCCTCCTCTAGGTGGACATGCCCACACTGATCTCAGTAACCTCGAGGACCTGGTTTTCAAAGACCGTGTGTTCACTGAAATAAATCTTAGATGCTTTTGAACTTCTCTAGAACCTTAGTGCCTGGCCGGTGTGGCTCAGTGGTTGAGCACTGACCCCTGCACCAAGAGGTGGCCGGTTCGGTTCCCCGGTCAGGGCACATGCCCAGGTTGTGGGCCCGATCCCCAGGGGGGGGCGTGCAGGAGGCAGCCAATCGATGTTCTCTCTCATCGATGTTTCTATCTCTCCCTTCCTCTCTCTAATTCAAATCAATAAAGAGCCCTGGCCAGTTTGGCTCAGCGGTTGGAGCATCGGCTTGCGGTCCTGAGAGACCCGGGTTCGGTTCCCGCTAAGGGCATGTACCTCGGTTGCAGTTTGTCCCCGGCCCTGGTCGGTCGTGTGGGTGGCAGCCACTCGATGTGTCCCTTTCACATCGATGTTTCCCTCTCTCTCTCCCTTCCTCTCTCTCCCTCCCACTCTATCTGTACAAAAAATGGAAAAATATCCTCGGGTGAGGATTAAAAAAAAAAAATCAATAAAGAAAAAACAAACAAACAAACAAAACCTAGTTAGCAAACCCTGTTCAGACTAAACGTTTCTTAGTCTCTTGTCAAGTTATTCCCATGTTTCACCTAAAATCAAAATTTTAGCTTCACAAGATCGAGTTTCCGTCTTTAGAAAGGCCGAGGGCTTGCTCCAAGTCGGTACGGACCTTCCTTCTTGCGTCCAGTGTGTATGTACGTTTCTCACACTCGTGGCTCCCTTTGCCGCAAGGGCTACAAAGACGCGCAAGACAGTCCCTGCTCTCAAGTACCTTCCCCCCTAATTAGGGGATGATTCAGAACAGTTCTTCATGTGACTTAAAAAAGAAAAAATTAAATAAAACAGACCAACTCCCCATAAAAGCTAAGGAGACTGTCCTGAGTCCTGTTTCTATGGTGACGGTTCTTTGGGAGCTAAGGTTAGAGTCCCATCTAATTCAGAGTAAGCACAGAATCTTGGGAACAGAGACGAAAGTGTCCAATGTGCCCCGCAGTCCTCTCAAACACTGTCCTCACCTGTCTCGACAGGACTCGGCACGAGGTCCATGGAAGGGTCTCCCACAGGTGTCGTCTGTGCGGCCGATGGAGGAGGCAGGTGTCCTAGTCCAGGTGGCCCGCGGCAGTGTTCACACTGTTAGGTTTAAAAAGCCAGGTATGTGTTTATCGATACCCTGCCCGTTCCACAAAGGATCTATGGAGTGTCACACGTTCGATGCCAATACGTAAGTAAATAAAAGATCGGCTTTGACTTCCGTCCTTTGGGAAGGCTGCACACGGCTGGGCTGACACAGCAGTGACCCCAGGAAGGCATGTCGGCTCCGGCTGGGGTGGAGACTGACCCCCTCAGGCTGTGTGCCTCTCTCTCCTCATGCCCCCTGGAGCCAGGACTCGGGTGGCCCACCGACGTGGAGGCTCGGGGCTCAGGACCTCGGCTCACCTCCAGCATTTCCACAGGTGAGGGGTGGGCGCACTCAATGAAGAGCTTGAGCGCGAAGCACAGAACGTGTCCTACAAAACACGAAAGGTCAGGGGTTACTAGCCGTTCCCTTGGAAGGACTCTGCGTGGCCCCTCACATTCCAGCAGAGAGAGGTCTGACGTGGACAGTGGGTCACCACGAGGCTCTCACCAGGAGTCTCACCGAGCGGTGTGGCCATGCTCCTCCCGTCCTCCACAAGCTCCCTGTGTGGCCTCCGCATCAGAGTAACTGCGCCCCGCTAAGGCCGCCGGGCCTGGTAACTAAACGAGCTCCGAGTAGCTAAATATATCGGTCTTTCCCTCTTCATGTTGGCCCCTTCCACGTCGAACTTTGTCCTCCGTGTGACTCAACTTGATGCTGAGTCTCAAGACCACCTCCATTTGTAAGGTAGAGGAGAATGCTGCTGTTTTTTGTTTTTGTTTTAAATTTTTTGTTTCTTTATTGATTTGAGAGAGAGAGGAAGGGAGAGAGAAGGGGAGAGAGAGACATTGATCGGTTGCCTCTCGTATGCGCCTGACTGGGCATAGAACCTACAACCTCGGTATGTGCCCTGACTGGGAATCGAACCGGCTACTCGTCGGTGTACAAGACGACGTTCCAGCCAACTGAGCCACCCGGCCCGGGCAAGAACGCTTCATGTTTATTAACCATCAGAGAAGGACATTTCATGCCTAGAAACTGAATCTGGTTAAGATACATTGCCCTGTCTCATGTTTGTTTTTGTTTTTCTAATGTAGGACCGGATGCTCTGTAAAGGCAAGGGAGCTCGGTAAATATAAATTAAATGGATAAATTAAAGAGTGAATGAGTGATCTGGTGCAATAAGAGACCAAGCCTGTTCCTGCTGGTTTGGGCAGTATTGCAGGGGTACAGGCTTAGTCCCAAACAAGTGCCGGCAGCACACTGTGTGAGTCATGGGTGCCCGTGCTCCGGCTAAGGAGTTGTGGCGTCTCCCATCTCGTTGACTAACACAGCTCAGGCTGTGTTCCGGGTGTCAGTGGTCTCAGTCGTGACACCGGCTGTGAGGATGGCCACATGACACAGTTCTGGCCAACAACCGTCTCCAACGGAGAACTTTGGGGAGCTTCCAGAAAGATCAACAGGGCCACACTCATCTGTAATGTTCCCCTTTGTTCCTCCTTGGGATGCAGGCATTGTTGTTAGAGCCACAGCAGCCACCTTGCAGCCATGAGGATGAATTTCACCGTCGAAGACGATGAAGGAGAAAGGTGAGAGTCAGATTCTTCGTGGCGGTGTCGAAGGGAGCTGCCTGGCTCTGCTTCTGTTTGGGCTTCTTGTTATGTGAGGAAAATAGGTCCCTTTATGTCACTGTAGTTGGGGGTTTTGTTACCCGTAGCCTCTAATGCAGTGATTACACATTCTGATTCAGGAATCAAAAGCAAAAGAGCTCACATTATGGTAAACTCTTCTCCAAAAGGACAAAGAGAATGTTTCGCTGATCAAGAGTGGGACAGTTATGCTTCCATCCAGCTTGCTCCCCCAGAGAAAATGATCAAATTATGACTAAAGATGGGGTAGATTTTCGAGGCGATGTCTGTTTTGTGAACACATCTGAAATGGAAGGAAGACAAACCCCTTTGGAAAACAGTATCAATGGCACTTTGCAGCTATTCCAGAGGCTCTTTGTCAGTGTTAACTAGGGTAAGGGGCCTGCCATCCAAGGAGGAGCTTTTGTTGGCAAAATCTCTCTCCCCAGAACCTTTTTCAGCCCGAGGGCCCTTATCAGAAGTGTTGTAAATGAGGTCAGTGGAACCCAGCTGGGGAGAGAGCTCAGAGCCACGAAATGCTGAGAAAGCACCGTGCCCACAGGCCGGAGGAATAAAACACCAGCCGCCCACGGACAGTTTGCACAGCCCACCCCCCGCACGGACTTTGTCCTTGGACCTGCATTTCTGTGTCACCCTGTTGCCTATTCGTGGATTCGGAGCAGAAGGCCCAGCACCCCTGAAACCGATCCCAGAGTTTGGGTTTGGTAAGCGACTTGAAAACAGGGACAGTGGCCCTGGCCGGTGTGGCTCAGTGGTTGGAGCGTCGGCCCGCACACCAAAGAGTCTTGGGTTTGATGCCCGGTCAAGGGCACGTACCTGGGCTGCAGGTTTGATCCCCGGAACCCTGTCGAGGTGGGTGCGGGTGGCAACCAGTCGGTGTCTCTCTCGCATCCGTGTTTCTCTCTCTCTCCCCCTTCCACTCTCCTCGGTGAGGATTAAAAAAAAAAAGGCAGCAAGAAACCATGTCCATCTTGTCTGCCCCTGTATCATCGGCACCCAACGCCCTGTCCCCGCACCTCGTGATATGAACTCAAACTTGTATGTCAGTGGATTGAGAGTCAGGTTTTGCTCATTCCCGATCGCCTTTTTAAATGTGCGAAGATGTACCAGGGAGACTGGGCGAAATAGGTAATTTTTTAAAAGCAGAGCGTGGGAAGAAACAGCC